TTTTAGAGGCCAGACCTTACTACATTTTTCTAGTAGCAATTTTCTGTCTTGGGAATATTTGTTTGATGCAACCTACCTATTGGTGTGACTATTTTGATACCTGTCCACTTCTTGGGATAAACATGTCTTACCAACTCAAGGTCTAAAGAAGATTCTGCCCCTAGTTCTTCAATCCTGTTTGGAGACCACATGTATGTCTTCTCAAATTAATAACACCTGTACCCTTCCATCAGTAGCTGCCATTAGATTATATGCCATTATAAAGGAAGTCCCAAGAAGGTAGAGTGTGTCGGGTGACTGGATGATGATACAGGATTATCATTCAAAATCGTGGGTGAATTTAGCTCAGCCAGCAGCTATGTTTCTGTGTTCTCTTGTTCTTGTGGCCTGGAACCTGGTGGTTTCAAGCTTGGCACTTGTGCCCTACAGAATCTGAGCAGGACTGCAAAGTAGATAAGGCTTGCCTTGGTTGTAGCATTGCCTCCTTTCATCATCTTAGATATTAATCTTGTCTTATAATCTTGTGAGTTATTCTCACAAGAACATCTTTAAAGAGAAACTTCAGAACTAAACAGTTAAAATTATCCATAACATTTGATTGACTTTATAATTTTTAGAGCATTTACACAGGATATATGTATTGCCTGTTTTATCCTTATAATCATTCTGAGAAATGATAGGTATGCATTTTGAAACAACAACAACAAAAAAATGACAATCAGAAAGAAAGAAAAAATGTTTTGTAGATAGTATATCTAAACTCAAAAATCCATGCTCTTTCCACTGCTTGCCTGGTACTTTTTCCAAAATTTTGTTATCTGTCTCTAAGAATAAAGTTATAATGGTGAAATGCCAGGTAATAGAAAAGTTATTTTGGGCAAACGGTTCATTCCTTCAAACCATATGAATAGATTCAGCACTATTAGGAGGGAAATTGTTGGCTTTTGTAACTAGCAGATCCTATGCTTGGATCTTGTACCGTGAAAACGTGCTCCAGTCCCATAACCTTGAAAAGTTACATCCATCTTAGAATGGCATATACTACTCCCCTTGGTGTCAACAGAATTAAATGTCCCAGATCACTTGGGTAAAAAATAACAGACACTCTGTTGAGGAGCTGAATTAGGGAATAAACAGCAGCAAGGGTTAAACATATCACCCGCAAAACTCTGATCTCAATCCATGCCAAAATGTCATAAACTGGTACTTATTAGAATATGATACCTTGCAAACAAGAATAATGTCTCTCTTTTGGTATCATCAAATTATTTATGGAGGGTCCATATGCTACAAACTCTTAACTGAATGAGTCAATTAAAAGTGAAACCTAACTATTTGGAAGACAGTACTCTGCTTCTAGAAGAAATCGGACAGGCTCAAATACTGAGACGATTGAAACAGCAAGCTATTTCTGAAAGAGAGAATGGGAATTGTATGGAGTTTGTCACAAGGTGATTAGCATGAGAGTCCAATGCCCCTCTTCTACAGAACAAATCCCAGGCCAAGTCAGGCAGACTATTTAAAAAAATATCCTCTGATTAAAAACAACCAAGCAAACAGACATACAAACAAGTGCCTTCCCCATTGGCATTTCCCAAAGTCATGTCAGAAGAAATTTTTGAAGCCAGGGATTGAGAATTTGGATCTTCTTTTAAAGCACTCTCTAGCCCTTCCTAAGCATAGGTCCATGGGTAGGATGCCCAGCTCTCCAAGCCTCCTCTGGGAAACGGGGACAATTTTCCAACCCCTACCTCGGAGCACTCTTGTGAAAGTTGTATGAACCCAAGTATGTGAGGGCACTTGGTGCAGCTCCTGGCACAGAGTGAGTGCCCAGTTAATGGGGATGCTTTCTCTTACAGCCTTATCTCACATTACTGGTTCTATGTAGAAATAGAGAATCTGGGATTTGGATTTGGAATCCACTGGAGACTAATACAGCAGCGCCACCTGGTGACTGTTTTACCACAGAAGTAACCTAACAAGGTCTTAAAGATCATGGAGGACAAAGCTGTCTTCCTTCGTTTCTAAAGATTTAAATAAAAATACAGTCTCTTGATATATTAGAGAGATTTTTTAATCATTCTTGTAAATGTCACTCCTTAAAAAATCCAGAAATGATGAAATCGTCAGAGATGAAGTTTGAGCTATACTGAATTTCACCTGACTGCCTTTGGAAAGCAGCTAAATGTTATCAGCATAGTAGAACGTAAACTTGTTAGAAACATTGAGAACTGACAATGCATTCAGTTCTTCTTGGAGAAAAAAAATTATTAAACAGTAAAAATATATAGATATGAGGTCAGAAAATCATGATTATTTTATGTATGAGGGTCATCATCGTAAACGTAGTTTGTTTCCTCATTCCACAGTCGTCCTTCTCCCGTGTTCGTACCTTGTAACCAAGGATTCTTCATCAGAAACCTATAGGTACATTTTAGGGGTTTCCAAAATGTCTGGCAATATGAAGCAAAATTTTTGTACATACTGGGTGGTGGTGCAGTACTATTATTTTTTAATCCTAAACAAATAAAACAAAGAATTTCTGCTGTAAAAAAGTTTTGATAGAACATGGGTATGGTGCTCTGAATGTTTGTCCCCTGAAAATTCGTATGTTGAAATACCTCTAAGGTGGTGGTGTTAAGAAGTGGGGCCTGGCCGGGCGCGGTGGCTCAAGCCTGTAATCCCTGCACTTTGGGAGGCCGAGGCAGGTGGATCACGAGGTCAAGAGATCGAGACCATCCTGGTCAACATGGTGAAACCCCGTCTCTACTAAAAATACAAAAAATTAGCTGGGCATGGTGGCGCGTGCCTGTAATCCCAGCTACTCAGGAGGCTGAGGCAGGAGAATTGCCTGAACCCAGGAGGCAGAGGTTGCAGTGAGCGGAGATCGCGCCATTGCACTCCAGCCTGGGTAACAAGAGCGAAACTCCGTCTCAAAAAAAAAAAAGAAAAAAAAAAAAAAAAAAAGTGGGGCCTTTTTGACATGATCAAGTTATGAGGGCTGTGCCCTCATTAATGAATTAGTGCCCTTATGAAAAAGGCCTGTGAGAACTTTTTGCCCCTTCAGCCTTGTGAAGATTTGTAGAAAGTGCTACAATCTATGAGGAACAGGCCTTCAGGACACCAAAACTGCTGGTGCCTTCATCTTGGACTTTCCAGCTTCCAAAACTCTGAGTAATAAATTTTTGTTGTTTGTAAATCTCCCAATCCAAGGCATTTTGTTTTAACAACCCAAACAGAAATAAGGCAGTGGGTAAAACTAAGTTCGGGATCTTCGTTCCATGCTTGTTTTCTTAAACTAGCCAATAAATCCATTCTTCTAGTTTTCGCCTCTAGTTTTCTCTTCTGCCACTGCAACGTGAACTGATGTTTGGAGAGGGAAAGGTATATACACGACGTGTTCTTAGAGCCTGGGCTCCGGTTGGAGAGCTTTCTCCGCACCCTCCCCTGGGTGCGTATGATTCTAAAATAACGAGATGCCGTGTTGGAAATCTCCTTGGTGGTAGCGTTCAAATGCACCATTCTGTAGACTATACTAGAAGTCATAGAACAGAAAGGCTCACAGACTAATAAAGATGCTAGAAGCACAGGGCTTATTAAATCAATTTAAAATCCACAGAAAAGAAGGCAAAAGTCATGGGTAGGTTGACTCATTGAAGGTAAAGTGCAAGGATCACACTAGCCCAATGTTCTGTAATGTGGGTATATCTACTCCTTCCCCTCTGCCACATCATTCCTTCTCCAGTGATGATGTGTTATAAGCACCAGAGTTGAGGTTTGAGCAAGGGGGTAACTGAAAGCGGGAGCCAATGCAGCATGCTCACTCCCTCCAAGACAAGCAGGGGCCAATCAATGAAATTCACCCATCAGGTTGATGAGCTGCTGTGGGGGCCAGCATGGAAGTCAACAAAGAGTGAGCAAATTAAGACAGAATCAGTAGTGAATGCTTTTCTCCTCTATATCTAGTGCATCATATAGTGTTTTCTCAGTCTTTATTTCCCTTTCTATTTTTGTTTACTCACGTGCTTTGCTTAGTTTTTCTGTCTTAAGGGTCACTTTGTTTTTTTTTTTAACACATCGTAGGAACTTCATGTCTCCCATTGTTTTCCTGTCTTCTATAGTAGAATATTTTTGAACAACACAGCAAATGACTATTATAGAACAGGATATTATTGGCTTTTAAATATGAGCTCCAAGCTAGCGCGAATGACTCTGGCCCAGAAAAACAGGGTTTCTGCTTATTTGCTTAGCACGGCCTTCAGCAGCTTGAGGAACGAACACTTCTGATTTTTGTTGACCTGGAGTTTAATGCTTGCAGGGATACAAACCACAGGTGTCAAAACAAATGTTTTTAGTGTTATATATAACTCTGAGCCTCCTGGCCTTCATCCAAGGTTCATCAAGTAGTTGGTAGATGTTAGGTATGTTTGGAGATAGAAATTCTGTGGTCTCCAAATCCCTAAGCATGAGAATGAGGAAGACTGGGGGGGTCTCTGGGAAGACCGAAATGGTCTCCTCTTTCTTTTTTTTTTTTTGAGACGGAGTTTCGCTCTTGTTACCCAGGCTGGAGTGCAATGGCGGGATCTCGGCTCGCCGCAACCTCCGCCTCCTGGGTTCGGGCAATTCTCCTGCCTCAGCCTCCTGAGTAGCTGGGATTACAGGCGCGCGCCACCATGCCCAGCTAATTTTTTGTATTTTGAGTAGAGACGGGGTTTCACCATGTTGACCAGGATGGTCTCGATCTGTTGACCTCATGATCTAACCTCCTCGGCCTCCCAAAGTGGTCTCCTCTTTCTAACATCCCCCAAAGAGTGGCTTTCTCAGGTCCCCTTGGCTTGTATAGAATGTTACCTCCTCTCTCATTTTTTGTTAGCCGAGATGATTCTTTAAAAAATTCCGGCATTGTTCCAGATTAAATGTGGACACCACTCCTTCCTATCAGCCCTCCTCCCCCAACCAGTTTCTGGATGAGTGTAGAAAAACACAACAGCCCTACTGGATTGATTTTATTTTCATTTTTTATTGAAAGCTTCATCAAAGAAAACAGAAGTTTAAACCTAACATCCACTGATCTACAGAAAGCCCAAGGGATGGGGGAGATGGTTGCTAATTTGACTGTGGTACAGATGAAGAAATTAAAAATAAAACCAGAAACACCTTTGAATTACAGAACTTTCCATGACAAGAGACAGCAGCACAGAAATGCTCTTAAATAAAGTTCAAAATTGAATGATGTGTCAGAAGTTCCATGAAGTTGAATATGGACTGAAACGAGGGTTTTAAAAGAAGCGGTGTCCCATTTTTCTTTTTTAAGAAACTGAGTATCTCATAGCATATACTACTACATATATTTTTTAATTAAGATTCCAATTTTCTTCTTCTTTTTAAATAAATGGAAGCATTTGTGTCCAGAATAGAGAAAACTTTTTCAAGTGTCTCTTTGAAACGATTTTTACAGTTCTTGAAAAGCATGGAATAACTCATTTTTTAAAATATATGAAGAGATAACACATTTGGGGGAAGAGGAAAGCACATCTTTCTCAATAACCTTAGACTAGAGGGTTTGAAACAAAGTGTAACGTGAAAGTTATACTTTGGACATTATTTAAATTTGATGTGATCATAAAAACATCCACGGGAGTGTCGAAGTCATTCAGCCTTAATATAGTAATGCAAAGTCAAAATATAACAAAAGCAATGCATTGGTTTTGGTCAAAGATTTAAAACTAGGAATAGGACTGTACCAAGAGGTCCTGTTATATTCTCATGGCAGAAATTGTGTTGATTCGTGCTACTGGTTTGAATTTAGTGGAGTGAAGAGAACAAAAATAGCTTTCTTCTGAGGGGAGCCAAATTCTCCATGATTTTTTTCTGTATATTCTGCAAGAATACAGCCAACTGTCAATTGTTTGTGGTAGATAGAAAAAGACATGATTGATAATCAAAATGTATGGCATATAATGTATGGACATTAATTTTACCAATGATTTCAAACTCCCTTAAGAAATTCATACTTGATAAGAAATAATCAAATTTTATTTCCAGTTGTTTCTTTGCCCACCCTCAGGATGACATGCTAATAAAAAGAAAAATAAAAAACTGAGCCCAAGGCCTACAAGCTAAAAAGGAAAGACAACACACATCCACAGAGCAGATAATTAGCCCTTCAAAAATGTGAGAGTGATTGTATTTATGCACAACTCAGAAACTGGGGCAGTAGCAACACAAGCTCAAGTGTGACTCAGTGGCCTAGTGGTTCTTCCTGCAGATCCAAGCTTACTACACCTCTACTTCAGCCCTAAAGCTTTCTGAGTGGAAGAAATTTTTCTTGATATATTATTTTCCCTCACAAAAATAAACAGAAATGCATATGGAAAGCCATTCATTCCCCCCCCCCTTTTTTTTTTTTTTTTTTTTTTGCTACAGAGAGCATCTGTATGTTATAGTACAAAGCCAAAGATAGAAGAAATTAATCTGGGGCGAACTCCTGTCTCCCACATCATAAAAGATCTTTGGGGCCACTTGGGGATTTAGTGTTTAGTTTTTTATACTTTCCTGGACTCTATGTAATCCACAAAGGACAGCCATGACCAAGAGCGTTTGGATAAAAGGACCAATTTCATACTCGGGAATGTTTGCAAAGAAATGTTAAACTTGAGTCAGACCCAGCTGTCTTCCAATGCCACAGTGGATGTCATTTGTAAAACAAATTGATTCATTAATGAAATCCCATTATCACTTTCCACAGAAAGGGTAGAGTGTACAGAATCAATGAGCCTGTTTAAATTCTGTCAATCCCTCAGATTGAAGTGAGAGGCTGTCAGTCTCAGTGAGCTCAAAATTTTGAAGCATGCCAGCTACAATAACTTGGAAGACAAAATCTCATCCTTTACTTTTTACTGAAGAGAAAGTAATATAGATCAACGTTCTATGACATGTTGAAACTTTATTATAGCGTGTGATTCCTCAAATGTGCTGAATGTTGCTATACACGTACATAAATATTGTCCCTTTACTTGATTTCAAATCATATAAAAAACATTTATTACTGAAACCCACTTGAGAATTTCTCTCTGCTTATCAGCTCATCTGCAGTGGTTCATGGACTGAAATTAAGAATGAAAATGAATTGCCGAATGTATTTTAATCTATTAATATCATCATCTGTCTAGACAGCCTATTGAAACTTCTCCTCATTGTGAAGATGATTGCAAGAGTCCTAATTACATCAAATTTCTCTTTTCATTAATAGGGGTTTTTAGGCCACTATAATAAAAAATAGGTATTTAGCAAATATTCCAATTATTTATTTGGGGGGGAAAACATTAATTACTTTTTTGGGTCATACATAAATTGAAAGTAGTTTTAAAGCACTTCACAAGGGGTCCAAAGATAGATTTTTAGGTATAGTAAAATAAAGTTAACTTCCTGCTTTATATAGCCTTCTTCAGTTCTCAGTCGTATATCTAATGGGAGTGCTTTTAACACCATGCAGTTTTTCATTAGAAGGGGGTGGAAGTGAGTCATATGCTTTCAAATGTGACAGATCTGCTAAGGTCACAGGAAGAAGTAACTCAAGTGAAATATGGAGGTAACATTCTGAAATATTGAAATTTATCAAGGAAGCAAACTAATCCCGGCAAAACTAGAGTCAGGTAGAGGATTTTTTAAGAGTATGGTGACAGTCGCAATATTCAAGACATGTCAGCATTCAAGGACAACGGTCATTAGCACCTGCCAGTATTCTCTTCAGTTCACTTGGGTTCATTACGTTGTCTTCAGAAGACATGGCCACGTACTGGGGAGTTCCCAGTTACCATGCACACTTGGCCTTTCTTGGCAACACTTTTCTCATTATTAAAAGAAAACTTACTGTTTCACTGACCACGAAACTAGAGTTTAGATGAGACCGTGTTTCTCTCATTTGGATCGTGGCTTTAGTTTGTTTCCTGATGTTTAGGCTAAGTCTTGGCAATTCAAGTCAAAAGGAAAAATGGAAACATCTGAATAAATGCTTGAAAACCTGGTGGACCAGAATCCATAGAAAGTTAACTTCAACTTCAAAAAACATTATAGTTTTAATTAGGATTAAAATCACTACAGTATATTTTGTTGATTAAACTTGAATTCTGCTGTCTGTATATTGAACACTTACTTTGGTTTATTATCACACAATGTAATGCTGCTTACCTGCTGATGCTTTCTTTTTTCTCTCCCAGACTTGGCTTTTCAAAACAAGTCTTAGGTAAGACAACAGACACTTTTTTTTTTCTTTTTTTGGTTTGAAAACATATATGTTATAGAATGGCATGATATAAACTATCCAAACACAAAATCTACACGCAGGTAATTTCCTTTTGCAGAAAGTGGCTTAAAAATTGAGATTATTGAAGTTTCAGAGTTGAAAAAAATATTTTTGAATGTACAAATAAAGCAGCAGTTTTGAATAGAAACAGGAAGTTACCTAGGCACATTCGTCAGCCACATGGTAGCTACCTCTTAGCCTCATTGTCGATTGTGTAAATGAGACTTTCTTTGTATCACATTAATACATGTTTTTGATTTTTTTTTCCACAGAAATGAAAGAAAGTATGTTGGTTTCATATTCAAATGAATTATGCCCAGGATAATCCTTATTTATACAAAGAGTTTAGAGAGTGAAAAAGAGAAACAGAAAATATGGTTCCCATACATGTTTTTCTGTACCCCCAAAATCTTTGGGGCCCACTTTTTAAAGATAAAAACCTAAGTGCCACCTTTACAATGCATGGGAAGCTGAAGGATGGGACAAAAGACAGTATAAATCTAGCATTTTCTCCAAAGCATGAAAAACCGTAATGGTGGGTGTGACCAGTTGGAATTTCTCTGTAACACACCCATTTTCTTGGATACACGTTTGTCTCCAATGTGACCATAAATATGTGCAGTCATTCTCTGATTTGAGCTTCCAATTAATGGCGATGCAAGTATAAGAGAACCAGAGTCTACATAAGTAGTGGAATATTGACAGTTTCGTATTGAGTCAGCCTTATTACTCATGTTGCCCTAATGGGAATATGATTTACCTTTAAAACTTTTTAGTTTTTAAAAGCCTACCCTGTTTTATAGTATACTCAAATACATTTTCGTCTTTTTTTTGTGGGCTAAGACAGGCTCCTGTGACTGACTTCAGTCGTGAAAAGAGTTTTACCTATTTGATTCAAAGGATTCATTCAGAAAGCAATCTAGTGAATAGTTCACTTAACAAAATTCTATTCCATTGTCCTTAAATTGAGGTAAAACTGTACAGGTTGAACACATATTATTTCATGAATCAAAAATGTAGATGTATTTTATAGGTAAGTCAATTTAATTCATTTTAGACAAAGTTTTGCATCATTCTAAATGCAAGTATTTCTCCTTTGGCTTAAATGATTGATCAAACCTAATTCTTTTGGTTCTGATTGATCTAAATCATACAGTTTCTTGATTGTCAACTAGCATTTTAATAACATCCCTAAATTCCACTAATAGAATTCTCAATCTTATTGGTCCTACATGCCTCAAAGAATTAATCTGAAAGAAAAAGTTTTTTTGGCAACACCAAGATATGAAAATACAATGAAAAGAGGCAAAAAGAAGATAGCCCCTCCCCATTTGCAAAACCAAGGTGACTATTCATGGTAGGTGATGACAAAGACAGAGGTGAGAAGACAAAACCCAGAGATGTTGTAATTTAGAGGGAAGACTATTGTCACAAATACAGTGAGACCTCTCCAGGAGACCACTCAACATTTCACAGAAAATCACTAAGCTTTTTTGGCAAGTGACCTTTCAGACCGGGTTCAGAAAGTGTTGTTAGCTGAAAATTCATATAAAGAATATTCAACCTGTTAAGTAAGCATCTGAGTTTACTAGTGGCTATCAATACAGGTTTCACTATTCCAGATGGCCAGTGAGAGACCAGGAAAGCTCACAGAATTTGAAGTCTTTTGGCTCTGTCAGTTGACATCCGGAACTCTTCATGCTGAAACTGCTAAACACACAGGTGCAAGCTTCTGCTATCAATGAATAGACATTTAAAGAAAAGAAAGACAACTCCCCCCACCCTCCTTTTTTGCAGTATGTAAAACACCAGTGGAAGGTAGTTTAAACCAACAAAGTAAGAACTGGTCCGGCCATGTCGGTCAAATAAATTTTTTTTTTTTTAAAGAAAAGAAAAGAAAAACAACCTCTATCTTCTGGACTGTAATAGGGTGTCACTTCATCTTTGGTATAAAATAGGCCATCCATAGGCTGAATTTGATCACAACTAGGAAAGACTACAGAAATTGTCAACAATTTCTCTATCTATTGCTTTTTTTTGTTTTTTTTTTTTTGCACTTTTTGACCATAAGCTCCTATCTACTTAAGTTTTTTTTTAATGCTCTTAAGCTAGGTTTTGCAATGTGACAAGCAAAGCTGACTAAAAAGTTTGTAAAGCTCATAAAAAAGACTGCAGATAAAAAGCACTAATGCTTTTGCTAGCGATCACGCTTTGTAAATTAAAAAAATCTGCATTCTGCCCCCAAACACGCATTATTTCTAATGCAGTTGTTTTTAAACCAACATTAATAACTTTACTGTAAAATGTTTTAGCCTTTTAGAATGAGTCATGTCAACACTTAAGACAAAGTTCATGAAAAGTCCCAGCATTTTTCCAATTCTTGCAGTTGCCATGGTTTCTTTATCAACAAATTTTCTTCAAATGAAGAAAAACATTTTCATTTAAACTGTACAGTTTTTTTCACCCTAAAAACTCAGTCTTAAACTTCTGTACCAGTTAAAGCCGGCACAATATTTCAATTCTTTCTTGATTTTTGTTTTTAACAAGACGTTGACAGCTTGCCTCGAGAGCCTTTGACGTCCTTAAAATTAAGGCAATTAAGATTCAAGATAAACCTTACCTAAATATTTCTAAGAAAAAAATAAAATTAAAAAAAAAACCCCACTAGATTTAAACAAGAAGGGAAAAAGAGAAAGTAGCTTAATCATTGAGGAAGACAATTTGTTTCCATTTCTATTTCCCACTTCTTGACATCAGGTTTTCTGTTTTAAAAAAAAAATGTATCTACACCTTCAGGAAAATTTTGAATTCATTTCAAATGTCCTTCCAGATAAAATATCAACCTTTGATATTTTACTTCTTAGTTTTGTTTTTTTTTTTCCCCTCTTCTGGAAAATTTTTCTTTAATTAAAAAAAGATGGCAAAAATAATTGTCAGACCACATGAAGACCATTTGCACAGCACATAAAAACTTTTTCACTGGGCAAAGTATAAAACTTAAAAAAAAAATGCATTCCATTGACGTCTGTGCAAACTGGAAGCCAACTTCTTGTTCAATGAAGTTTCTTCATTCAAGGCAAAGATTCAGACGGACATTCTTCAGTCCTGTTTATGGTCTGTGAAAACAATTGAATAAGAGTAGTCATTAAATTAAAGTAACTTTGAAATCACCTTCTGTGCCCTTTTCCAATGAGGTATCTTTAAAAGATACCAAGCTTTCAATATAACATAGTCATGAATGCAATTATAAAATCATACCGAATCTATGAGATTGTCAAATTCTGCCACTTTCACTTAAATACAGTTTTGGGTCAGAGAGTATGTTTACATTAAAAATCAAGGTTAATATCATATGTTGTAGCTCCTTAAAATCCTTTGAGTAATTCTGTTCCTTCAAAACTAGGAGTCATCACTAATTCCGGCAACATAATATGAGGTTCTTTACTATGTACCCCAAATAACTGGGTTGTATGTTATCTCATGGTATTCATTACGTACATTTGCATAAAGCTTATTGCCTGAGGAAGTAAGTGAGACAGTTAAGAGGCCGATGCAGTTTTATTCTCTTTTCCTCTTCCCTTCCTCCTCTCTCTTGTTTATTCCCCTGTCAGGATTACAAGTTTGTGAGAGCAAGAACTAGACCTCTACCTTTTACTCTTTAGGCAGAGTGGTCTATCCACAATAGGTGTTTAGGAAAATATCATTTCACTATACGCCACTTTGCTTAGCTCAGTTCAAATCAAGACTTCTGCTACTGCCCCTTCTGTGTTGCAGGGTTAAGCTTCCAGCAGGTTGACTTCACTGTGAGCTCTTTTGCCCACAGATTAGAAGTTTGTTAAATAACTTCAGAGTTGTGCTGTAGAAAGAAGTACCTTTATATTATCTGTAAGTCCATATTAAGAGGAAGGCCTCTTCACTCAGGGTATCGGATGACAGCAAAAGATTATGCAAGCTCTTCTGATGCACAGTTGCTTAATTTACTAAATACGGCTCAGTGTTACTATGTAGTTTTACAGGTTGTTCACTATGCAAGATGCATGGCTGAGGGAGTGGGGACTAAATTTCAGCCCATCATCTGCTCCCCAAGGTATGTACCCTGGAGCAGAGCTGTAACCCCAATTCACAAAAAGCCTTCAACCGTGCTTTAAACTGTGTATTATTAAGCCTGAGATGGCCCAGAAAGGACTTCTTTTCCTCATTCACAAAAAGCCATCATATGAGCCAGCTATGGCTATTAGGAACCTGATTGATTCTTCCTAAAATCATGTGAGGAAAGCTACTAGTTGATAGATCAAATATTCAATTTTATCAATAGTTTAGTCCCTAGAAATGTTTTTTTTGTGTGTGTGTGTTATATGAGAAAGTGAGATCTAAGAAGTAAAGTGATTACAATTTTCATACAGTAGCAACAATAAGAAAAATTTTATTAGTGGTAGTCATGGGAACCATGGTTTATATTTTAACTATCTCTAGGTTTGCAAACTATAGGCTTCATTTATTTCTAAAAATCTATATTACTGTAAGAACAAAACAATTTTTTTCTTGGTTATATAGGGGTGTGGGGGGGTGGTTGGGGAGAGTCTGCTCTTTGTTCCCACTCCCATCTTCCACTCTGGTATTACTGCATACTGAAAGGAAAATGCCTAAAACACCAGGAATGTGTTTAGCGGCTGCTCGGTGAATGATGTCTAACTCAGTGGACTACAGTGCATAGAATACCTGACCCATCAAGCTTGAGTACTTGATATTCACTTGTCTCAAAAGCATTGATATTTATGGGCTAGGCTGAAACTACTTTAGATTTCATAACTGTACACAAATGTTTCCAATAGCCATCTCCCCTAATTTGCTTGGTCCTAAAGTGGCCCCATTGCCACATGAAAACCAATGATGGCAAAAAGATGGTTGTATTTTACAAGTTCTTGTTTGCTAGCTGAAGTCTGAAGGAAAAAGGATGTTGCCATTTAATAGACCTCAATTCACTCCTGCCCACTCCTCTGTCCCGGAATAAATGTGCGTGTGCACATTTACATCATACTTACGGATTGCACTGATATTCCTAAAAATAGAAGCGTTCTCAGTTTTTTAGACTGGGATCATTGGCAACAAGAACATTTTAAGCTGGACATTTTAGAAATACAGTGGGTTACAACTTGAAAACAGAAATTAATGTGAAGAAATGATGAGTATGGAAATCATTTGCAAACTGTAAAACACGGTGCACATACAGTGTATCATTACTCACAATATATTATAATACGTAGAATGTATTACTCACAAGCTTAAAGGACATAATTTGCTCATGATTAATATACTGACAATGTATAGAAATTTGGTATTCATGGCAGTTCAGTTAGCCAGAGAAGATTTGAAGAATAGAAAGGACTTGCAATATTAAGGTTGAGATGAGGGCCTTCTACGGTCACAGTGATAGACTTTCGAAGACCTTAGATAGACCTTAAAATGTGTTAAAGTAGGAATTTCACTGAATTTAAAAATGCAGAGTGGTTTTTAATCCTCTCATCATTCCTCCTCCCGCCAAAAAAAAAAAAAAAAAAAAGTGAACAGACTGGAGAGTAACAAGCCATCATCTTAGAAACCAGCTTAGAGCCAATGAAGCAGTATTTTCCAGAATAATTCCTGACAGACTAACTGCATGTAATGCTATGTAAAAAGTGGGATTCTGTGATCCAGGGTATGGGAAAATGTCACATTGTATTCCCACTACTGGATTTCCCAGGTAAACTAAAGAAGTGGGTAGGGTACCCATAAAGAAGGACATGAATATTTTAAAAAATTGTTCTTGAATGTAAACTTTTGCATAGGTATCCAAATTACAACATGTACATGAAAATTTGTTAGACTTATTTCATAATTTGATTTTGAAAAATCTTGGATGCTGGGCACAGTGGCTCATGCCTGTAACCCCAGCACTTTGGGAGGCCAATGTGGGCAGATCACTTGAGCCCAGGAGTTCAAGATTAGCCTGGCTAACATGGTGAAAACCTATCTCTACTTAAAATACAAAAATTAGCTGGGCATAGTGGTGCATGCCTGTAATCTCAGCTACTTGGGAGGCTGAGGCAGGAGAATTGCTTGAACCCGTGAGGTGGTTGTTGCAGTGACCTGAGATCACGCGTTCCAGCCTGGGTGACGGAGTGAGACTCTGGCACTCTCTCTCTCATGCTCTCTCTCCGTGTGTGTGTGTGTGTGTGTGTGTGTACATATATAAACATAATTTTTTAAAAGTCTTTTAGAATTCCCTGGGAGGAAGGCCTCACACACCCTAATCTTTCTGGAAGTAAAACATATGCTATGTTTATCCGATGCTCTAGGAGGTCATGTCAATTAGTATTTTAGTGACTTTGAAGAAAAATGAAATAAGCAAAGCATTTGACTTAGTTTAAACCCATGTATGCCAACATAATTTGACCAGAGAGTGCTTCCCTCCCACACCAAATCCAGGGCACAGTGGCACTCCCTTAGCACTAGAGACGTAATTATCACTGTTTGGAGAACACTGATATAATCCTCCCACTGCAAAGAAGAGGAAAATGAGGCTCCAAAGGGCTGAGTGATAACTAGGAAGTGGAAAAGGTGAAATGTGAGCCAAGGACTTCTCACTCCACATATCAGAATTTAACTTTGATGGAAGACACACTTTTCAGATCTAGTTATTTTTAAGGTTTCCTGCATAGCACAAAGGAAACTAGATAACTTGGGTGGGAATTGGAATTTCCATAGAATTTCCAACATATACCACAGTTATTTCCTCCTTCTGTGATAAGAACCTGGAATTCTTTTGCATTAGTAGCTTCTTTATTACTATTTTAATAGTTTTTGGAGTACAAGTGATTTCGGTTACATGAATGAATTCTACAGTGAGATTTTCTGAGATTTTAGCGCACCTGTCACCTGAGCAGTATACACTGGACCCAATAGGTACTCTGTTGTCCCTCAAGTAGCCTCTTTTAACAATGGTGCGGGGGGAGGGGGGAGAATCTTCATAAATACTAAAATATGAAGTATTTTGATTTATGTTGAAATATAGAATTTCTAATATTAAATATTTGCCAACAAATATCCCAAATGTAGTCCCTTAATAGGCACATCATTTATATTCCTCAAACTCTTCCTTTCAGTCTTCTGTTGTGAAGTCTGTACTTTCCAATGTTTTTAGTGTAGACATTGTGATGCTAAATGTATAATAGGTTAAGCTACTTTTCGGGAACACTGGCTGCCCTAATCAGAATTTCACACCCCACAGGAGGTCAGCTAGCATTTAATGAGAAAGGCCAGAGGTTTGTACAAGTACTTAAAGCTATTGTATCTCAATTAACATAATAATGGTTAGAAATGGGCTGCCTGATGAAAGGAGAAGCATGTTAATTAGCATAACGACGCTGGAAATGAGCTGCCATTTGTAAAACGGGGGTATTCAAGATAATGTGGATTGGGTAAATTATTTTACAGATATTCTCCACTTTACAAGAAAAGGAAGGAAGGATACAATACAAATGTGGGGAAAACCAGGCAACATGGTACCTGCCTGTAATCACAGCTACTTGGGAGGCTGAGGAGGAAGGATCACTTGTGTCTAAGAGTTTGAGGTTGCAGTGAGCCATGACTGCACCATGGCCCTTCAGCCTAGGTGCCGGAGTGAGACCCTGTCTGTATTGTTTTTAAAGAAAGAAAAGCTTTAAAAATGTGGGGAAATCTGTAGCATATAACTAACTTTAGGATGTTGTTTGAGCTTGATCTCAAAATTGGACTGTCATTGAATCATTTTCTGGTGGTTTCTGTAAAGATAACATCACCCTACCTCTAGATAATGGTCAAATTTAACCTGAGTGAATTTTTTTGTGTAAGATATGGTCAGGTTATTTGTAAAAACAGGGCTGAGACTTCAAGTATGCAGAGCAAACTGTATACATTGTGTTGTGCCTGCTTTCTAATCAATGCTTGTTAAATATTTAGTAAGTGCCTCCGTGGGTGCCCATGCATACCTCAAACTTTTCCCAGTGATGGTTACCCATGAAAAGGAACCCCGTTTTTATTACCCAGATGCTAACCTCAATTCCCATTGTCTTTCTTGAATAATTTTGAAGAATCTCGC